TATATATAAATCATCAAAGGTACATATACAGTGTTAATAAGGACATGATGGAACATCATAGGCTACCCTGTAGCTTTTCAACGAATAAAGTCCTATGAAAAATCATCGTGTAATAAAATGCTTCCGACGGGATTCGAACCTGCGACCTCTCGCTGACAAGGCGAGCGTCATAACCACTAGACCACGAAGGCTTCATGGTTGAACAGTTCCAAATACCCGTCAGAAACATTGTATTACACAGTGCTATGCCTCCCGAACGCCCTATCCCAGTAAAAGCCTTAAAGGGACACCTTCAAGAGCAGAAAAATGTTCCCCTTAATTAAAGGTTGTCCCACTGTATATACTGCATATGTAGTCAAGAATCCTTACTGTACATTTTTAATTCCTTCCCAAACTAACAATTTTTCTTCATTTTTTGTATACTTGACCTCCCACCACCTCTTCACGTCGAACTCTCATCAAACAAGTATTTATAATAGTAGAGTCCAGATTCAAGATAATATTTATTGTCTGAAATTGCATTCCACCGTCAGTGTTGCAACATATACAGTAATAAATAAACGATAACAAGGATATAAAACTATTACTATTAAACAAATTTAATTCATAAGATAAACAATATTACACATAAAACTTAATAAAATTGCACTTAAAACCAGAATTATCTGTTAACATTATTATGAAGGTGAATGGAGTTGGGAACGGCAACGTCTGGTGAGTGGTACATTAGACCATGGAGGAAATTTCTTTCCTCCATGATTAGACGGAAGCCTAGAGTTAAATATACTGAAAAATTCACTGTAGTGGGTGGATGAGTTTGTGTCTTTCATTATCGCCTGGAGTTTAGCTAATGTGTATTTGTTATATATTATCTAAATTTACAATATCTTTATTAATATTTTCTTTGCAGTCTTTCGAATCGAGTCCGATTTCTTCATTGTTTCGTTAGGCATTTATATGTACAGACAGTACCGTAAGTTAAAACACTGTTTTATTGCTTTATAAAACAAGATAAGAATGGTATTGTCTACACTAAGCTTCTTAAGTTTTCTTAGAAAATACAACTTTGCTGAGTTTCCTTTTGTAAGTAATCTTGGTTTGTTTACCCCATTATAAGCTTATTAACAACAGTGCCTGGTATAATATATCATAAGCACTGTTTGCTTTGCAAAAATCAGAGATTATTTCTTTAGTTGTTAGCGTTCAATATAAGATGATTAAGCTGGCACCATTCAGGAAATATTTTAACTTCATCAAAATAATATAGTTTCATCGTTATCAATAAATCCACTAATTACAGTATTATCTGCGTATTTTATAATTTTGCAGTGAGGACCCAAGATCTTAAAACTACTTGAATATAAAAGAAACGGGTACGGAGACAAAACACATCCTTACGGAACACCAATACTACTAACTGTTGACATATATTATTACATTTAACTCGCTGTGGTCAAGAAAATTAAATACATGACAAAATTCGATTAACGAAATTAACAATATGTGTAGAACAATAGTGTTGAAAGCACATGAAAAATCTATAAAAACTGACCTTACAAAAGCTCTTTGTTTTGCAGATGTTTATATACATTATTTAGAAATATAAAATGCATCAGTTCCTCTGTTATTACCGTATGCAAATAAATTATTATAGCACATTCTTGTGGATCCCAGTGGCCATGCCTCTTTTGTTATTCCTTGGCTAATTTTTGATCTTCAAACATAAATGTTTTAAAAACCTTTTATTATGTCGAAGTCATTCAAGGATTTTTCAATTTTAGGTATAGGTTTAACATTCAACGTTTAATATATGCGCATAATGCCAGTGCCAAAAAAAAAAAAAAAAAATACGGTATACAATTAAGCATAATATCGGCCTGGTCATAACAGCAAGCATTTTAGAATTAATACCATTCAGTTTCCGAGCTATTTCATCTGTGAAAAACCATGCATTTGAGCCATATATCAATGATGATACTACGACACAAATGTAAAGCCGTACTCTCATATCCAAAGGAAGTTTAGTATTTGTTAACGTTGGTAAAATGCTGGTGAATCTTCCAAATGCAATGTCACGCCGATGTTTCAGTGGTAAATATCGGTCTCCGTCACCAGCTATTTCAGTTCCAAGATACACGAATGAATACACATTATCCAGCTGACTGTTGCTCATTGACACTTTTTGCATTGAGGCTTGATATTGTTCGACTTTCATTTTGGTGATGATGCGGTCTGCTACCGTTCCTTTCCTGCTAGGCTTTTTGGCGTACAATCCACGAAGAAGCACAACATCCTACATTTGACATCATAGACCATGTAAGGATGCGGAGATGGAAATACCTTGGGCATATACTGAGAATGGATGAGGATCGCTTTGTCCGCCGTGTACTTCGTCTCTTATACACATCTAGATGTGGAAGATAAGATCAGAGTGCAGTATTTTAAATGCCACTAAGGGGAGAATGGAATGAATTTAGAATGACAAAGATAAATTAACATGAAAAAGCTGTTTGTTCAGTGAGGGCTGCTCCCACTGAATATGCAAGTCTTATTGGGGCCGTTAAGGCCATAACTTATTTGATTAAATACAGGCTTTGCCTATGATGAAGATACGATCTGTTGTGTTGTTTTTGAAAATTATTAGCTGTCTGCTGTTCAATCGTTCTTTTGGCAATATTATTCACAACAAAGTAATTGTATTGATGAATACTGTATTCGTAATTATTATTATTTTTTTAAAAGTAGGCTTTTATTTTTTTATATTATTGTTATTTTTATATTATTATTATTATTATTTTTAAATTTTATTATATAGCATATATTAAATATTACCAACTGCAATGACAGATAGTCTTCACCATAATATCTAATTGTACGTTCTATGTTCCAAAATACTCGGCATCTCTAAATTAAATCGACCAGATTGGCTCATTCCATCTGAACAGATGTCATTCTGCTGAAAAAATTTGCTTCCTGGGTCAGTGTTGGTATTAGCTTCACAGCTCCGAATTCCTGCGGAAATATAGTAACATATTCAGATCGTTATTTGGAAAAGAATGATTTATGTTAAACATGATTTGTGTTCATTAGGATGAGAAACACCCTTGTAGATCTAATAACCCAATTTTTAGTAGTATAATTTCAAGAAAGCAACATTGAAACCAACCTTTAGTAGAATCAACATTTAATCCACCAATGTCCACCAGTAGATTCCTTTTAAATCGATCTCATACAGTATGTTGAAGTCGGCGACAGTTCACAAGAATTCAAGGGCTTGCATATCAACCACTTCTGTTGCACTGTGTTTACAAATATGTACTGCGTAAACCTGATGAAAACAATTGACATTTGCATAAAGGGTGCCTGCTCCGCCTCCCACACCCTCAAGACAAACAAACAAATCCTAGTGAAGTTTGAAATCATTTGGACTGACATGGCTCCTGGACCCCCGAATTGGTAATAATTTTCAACAAACTCACTCGCCCCTCTTAACTCAGGTTCTCGGTTACCGACAGAATTTCATCTAAACAGTAGTCACATTAAATACGTGAACCAATAGTGTATCCATAGGTTGATTTCACATCATTTCACAAGCCCCAGGCATTCAAACTTACCTTTGCAAGCTGGTCTACCATTTCATCGTCACCAAGAACATTATATCGCCATCAATATAAGATCATATTCGTTATGGTTCACGTATTTAATGTGACTACTGTTTAGATGAAATTCTGTCGGTAACCGAGAACCTGAGTTAAGAGGGGCGAGTGAGTTTGTTATCATCGTCCTTGATATTCACCATCAAAAGAAACGCGATGAACAATTTAGTCTGAAAATCGCATTCATTACTATTATTATTATTTCTTTTCTGAAATGAAAACAAAAATTTAATGTTGTAAAATTTATAGGCCTATGCATAGCCCAATAGCCCTATTGTCATTTCACAATTTAAACAAGCTCAACTTTCAGGCATTCAAACATCTGACAAATTATATACATTTGCAAGTTCAGTTACATCATTTCGTTATCGGTTAATCGTCATCGCTGTCTTTTTAATCATCACCGTCATCTGCCATTTTATTAAGTTGTAATTAATAGCAAAGTCTTTTAACTCACAAAAGCTCTCAGGAACCACCCAAACTTTGCAGTCCATATTTGGATTCAAGATAGGAGGATATATAGCAAAAGTAAAGCTTCCAAGAGTCTAATACTAGTAATCAAGTACCGTAAAATTATCATCGTCGTTTGTTTAACATCATCTTTATCAGCACAACATTCTCATTATCATCATGAATTATATCATCGTATTCGTTCAATATTCCTTTCATGTAGATATGAAAAGGACATAGTATATATCGCTAACACCATCATCATCACAATCATCATCATCACCATAACATCATCGTCACTGCTAATTTTGTTTTCAATTCAAGTCGATAAATTATCCATTCGCAGAAAAACGTATCCACAAGCATCATTATCAAAATCACCAGGTTTCTTTCTGAAATAAAACAATATTAGATGTTATAAAATATGTATTGAATGGGCATCCTAAGGAGTAGTCAAACACATGAAATATACTTATTTATTTTACAAGATACCCAGGAAAAAATCATGAGAATGATAAAGAAAACAAAACCGGTAATACAAAGACTATGAAAATGGCAAAAATAAAATTAGAAAATTAACAGAATTTCTTTAAAAGTCCAAAGCTTTGTCTACACTATCAAATTATTTAACAAAAATGATTTTCACATATGTGGGTATGATGACGTCATATTATCACATATTATCAAATTGTTCAATTGTTGTTGAAAGTTGAACGTCACATTATATGTGACGCTTTTTTGATGAAATATAATAGTGTAGACAAAGCTTAACAATAAACTATGTCCAAGCTATCAAGTTTGCGGAAAATATACGCGTGATTTGTCCATACACAGGTATCTGTTGCATTGATAACTGCGGAATGAACTTTCAAACAACACGAACTTAATATTTCTAAAATGGAAGGACGGATCTAATAAACCAATTACTTGGAACTATACAAATAATTAAGTAAATAATTCGCAAAATTATCACAGCAATAGATATCACTATACACTTTGTTCTATTAACAATGCAAAAGCACGCATTGTTTATTACACAATAAGTTGCAGCCTGGAGGCATGTCTAGGGTATTCAAATGGCTGGGGGAAGGGGAACCGAAGGTGATGTGGAAGGACTCGATGATAAAGTATGTGGCGAGCTGCTGGTTAACTATTTTAGGGTAATTTTTGATACGTCGCTGTTGCAGCCCCATCATGTCATTTGGAACAGAATGAATCAAACGGGCAATTTAAAAAAAGCCACTGATCACCTTAGCATCATCAACGTTGGCTATTAATATCATAGCCGTCCATTACCATACCATCATTATTAACCATCGACGTCCACATATTTCCTTGTTTTTAAATCGATCACACTACATTCCAGTCAGGTCGGAGGACAGTCCAGAAGCATTTAATGCCTTGGGTATCGACTACTACGTAAATAATTAATAACTCATGTTAACATGAATCATGTTGTTCTATAGCAAATAAATTCAATTCAATAATGTTAAACACACTTAGTGAAAAAGGATGTTCAGCCCGCCTGCAACACTCCCTGGATATCTAAAGATCGTAATCAAGTTTCTAAATTGAAATTTAGATTAATATGGCCCTGGACCCACAGAATTGGTAAGGGAGCATTCTCCTCTGACAATAGGTTTCAATACGATACGATAAAACCATTAAAACACAGCTATGAGATATGGTTCCTTAAATACACCCATATTACTAGAAAAATATATAGAAAATTTAATTAAAAAACACATGTTGCACAAAGAGAAATTGCTTAAATTTAAAAAATACAAGATGCTAAAAGTTTAAAACTAATATTGCAGGGATTACTGAGTTGTGATGGAAATTGTATTCAATCGCCTCTCCTGCTCCCACACCGGCCAAAATACCCTGGATCCGCTAATGTAAACATGACAGAATTTCAACTAAATAGCAGTCACAGCAAGTAAGCTAACCATCCATGCATTACTATAGGTTAATTTCACATTATTTCACAAGCCCCAATGCATTGAAACTTACCTATTTTTCAAGCACAGGTCTACCACTTCACCATCCTTGTTATCACTGTATCATCTATATCGCCATCATTACATCATCCTCGTAATCCTCATTATCGTTGTCCCCATGAGCACTTATATCTATCAGTTCTCCATCAGAAGAAGCACTACTCCAAATAGCAAATTGATTTGATTTATTCGGAAATTCACATGCATTATCAAAATGAAAACACAATAGATATGGCCCGAGTTTCACATCACGTCATTTCACAACCCCACAAAGTCGCCTTTGAAACTTTCAGACATTCAAACATTATCTCACAACTTACCTTTGCAACTTTTAATACACTATTTCATTATCGTTAATCGTCATCACTGTCATTCATCACCATCATTTGTCATAGTATATTGTAATAACAAAGTCAGCTTAAATCGCAACTCACAGAAACTCAAATAAACTAACCACGCAACTCTAAAATCTGTATTAATCGTCACTATTAAATTTTCATTGCTACCGTCATCATCACAATCATCATTAATATTTTTTCTCATTCCACGTCGACAATTAGTCATCGGCAGAAGTACCACCATCCAATCAGTATATTAGCATATTTCCTCATTCATCATTATCAAAATCACCAGATTTTTTTTTCCTGAAATGAAATGAACTTCAAAGTTATAAGTATTGAACGTACAGTATATATTTATTTATTCCGCACACATGCATAGGCGACAAAAACCTGTGATGCACAAGGTATTCGTCGCCTTGCTACTGTCTCTGGACAACAAAACTAATAATATTCCTGAAATCAAAGACATGCTATTAGTTATTGTACATCTTGGATTTACATACACTGAAATTTAACAATAGTAAATGAATTCCATTTACTATTGTTTTACATTTACAAAATTACAATTCATAACAGACTCAGACAAAAACACTTCTGAAGATGTTAAATAAACGAGTCATAAACGCATGTTCTATTGTACGAATTTATTGAAACAAATTCATAGGGATACAATATATGGTATAGGGGCTTACCATCATGATGTGATTAAAAAAATAGACGGACAAAAAGAGACAAAGACACATTTGTTTGTAAAGATTTATTGCAACAATTTCATAGGTATACAAATGAAGACGCATTGAGGGAGCACCTGCTACCATCATCAAATACTGACCTAACCCACTATCGGCACGAATAAAAAAATAAATAAAAATACTACGATTTTATATAAAGTGGTTTACAAGATGGGCATTAGTACGATTGTTTTTTCTACACAAACAATCCTATAGTGATTAGTTGACTTACTTGGTTTGATGCTTGGATTCTCGAACCGATGTCTTGCTGCGTTAGTAACTTACCTGTGGTCTCGTCACATTTGCATATAATCAACATAATTAAATAACAACTGTTTTATATCGGCCTAAGTGTTAGTTCAATTTTTTCATAATACATACATTCATAAATAGTCTAGTTGATGCTGTTTAATATGATAAATTGATGTCAAAATTTTGCTGGATATATGATCTAATGTTGTCAGATTATCAGCATCTAGTGACAGTGGACTAGCATGGAGATTTGAATGCCTACTGAAATTTAGCCATGGAATCCATGGTTCACATATATTAGGCCTATCATCGCAAATTATGATACGTTAATCATTAAACCTTGTTTCCAAATATGCAATCTAGTTTCCTATAAAGTATTAACATTGCATAGTATCAACAAGATCTCCACCATAATTATTATAAGCTTCGTTGCCCTGAAAAAAATAAAGCCTAATGTCTACACCTGTGTGTTAGTAGAAATGGATGCAACATCACATAACCAAAAATGTATTATATAAGTCTCCTCTTGATTTCAATACATGTTAGTTCTTACTATGGTTGATGCTTGGATGCTCAAAGACGTGATGGCGTTCATCAAATCAGCCCGTCAAGGAGGATAAAGGTGCAAACGTCGAAAGGCTCCAGTTGCCAAATATATAATTTCATTAGTTTCATATTCGAAATTTGACTAGTGGCGTCTACGAAATTTACGTGATTCATAACGTAATAACAGTAATAATAAATATAATATAGTAAAACAACAATAAAATATAAAACCTATAATAACGATTAAAAAAGCTAACATTACGACAGTATAATTGAATATTTTAAATAAAATAACAGTAATAAAATAAAACCTACGAAATAATTATGTGCTGATTATGTGCATGTTAATAGAATAAGGTAGATGCTTATTGTATTCGACTAAAATGAAATGAAAATGAAATGCAATGAAATGAAATAAGATATGGGACGATTAAATATAGATGCCAAAAGTCAAATAACGTTTAATCAATTCCAAAAAAGGCCTAACAATTCTTTGCAGTGTTGGCGCAGAAACTGACTTAATGGCGCCAACAATTTTTGTTTTGTATCCATGGACGTCAGTATTATGACATCCACTTGTATGACCTGCAATACAACACGAGCAACATTGTCATTAGTGCACTAATTACATGAGTAACTTTGAAAAAATGATAAATAGGTGGTACAGTGTGGCAGTGAAGTAATGTATTATATAAGCATACCTTTTCCCAATCCCATTAGATCTATCAAAATTATGTAAGCTAAATACAGTCACTTAGATCTATTTAATCACAATGATAACGTCGAAGATGCTTAATCATTAAGTACTAAGTCACTGCATGCTAGTAGAACCCGTACGTGTCTCGTTTCAGAAAATGCTATGATAGCAAAGTAAATCTGTGTTTCGTTTCAGAAAATGCTATGATATAGTAAATTAAATCTGTGTCTCGTTTCAGAAAATGCTATGATATAGCAAAGTAAATCCTTAAACGTGTCGCTATAATGATGCTTTAATTCAGCCATTTTTTAAAGCTAGGCCTGAGGTACAGTAGTAACAACTTCTCAATTCAAGACATTATTAATTAACCGGTCGTGTAAACTTCTAATAGTAGGCCTACATTATATATTTATTAACAATAGCCTACAGGCCTATTAAATGTTTACCCTGGTACTCACCCACTGTGTCTTTCTCTGTTTACACCCTCCTCCGCTACACTAGGAGAATAGTGACGGACCCAGAGGTAACGGAACTCTCTTGTTTAACCGGTATATTCAAAATAGGAGGCTTAACTCTGATTGGATGTTACTGTATGCATGGTTGGATTAAAACAATAACATCCAATCAAAATTAGAAATGATGTAATGTTAAAATAACAAAAGCCACTGCCTAATCTAAAGCAACTGTTTGGTACTACTCTAGTAGTCATTAATTTGCGAATTCTTTCTTGCCGATACTTTTAAGCTGATTGATACCGTTTTAGTGTAGTATATGCGAACTTAATTTGTTTATGTAAATGTTGAGTATATTAAGCCTATGTATATTTTATTAATGTAAAGACAGAAGATATGAAATAAATATGATAGGCAATTGAATAATAATACAGATCCGGATTCTGCCCACAGGGCAAGATCCATGATTTTGTTTGCTTCTAGCAATCTGCAACAGTCTGTCTAGCAGTTGCGGCGTAAGCCCCCACCCCATCGGACAAGTCAAGGGGCCCCCGGCTGAGCTCGTCGGGCAGTCGGACCAAAAAAAAATTAGGCTAAATATAAGCCTATAATAGACCTAATTGTTATTTAATACATTAATTTTATACAATACAATTTGCAATACAGACATTAGAAAGTTAATATGTTTAATTTAAGTAATATTTATCATTCAGTTCCCCTTCTCTTGTGTAATATAGCCGGCAATTTTGTGAAACACTAAAAAAGTAATAAATCTTAACTTCAGCAATTATGTAATAGAAGTTGTAATTTTAAAGTCAGGCTCCAGAGGTGTAATAAGGTGTAAAATGGGCAGTTACGCCCCTTTCCCCCAGTTTTTAAATATTAAAAAATCTGTATCTCATTCACCGTTCCCCCAGCTTTTCGTCAAACAACTTTTTTCTGTCTTAGAAAAATCAACATATCAAAACATTTTTTTTCCTCCGGAGCCTGACTTTAATTTATTACGCCCATTTTCACTTCCAGTAAGATAATTTGTTCATGGGATTAGGTTGGAAAATCCACAGACTATAAGCACAGTATTGTAGTACTATAGTAGCATAGGCCATTGAATTGTTTTCATTTCTTTCTGTGATTACGGCCTAATCCCTGCCGCTAAAATAAGGCTAACTCGGCCTCCTATGTATTATTTCACTCTGTGTAGACCCCACAATGTTCCAGGGATCCTAATTTTGGAAAAGAAAGTTACACAGGGACAACTTATTTTTTCTTACATTGGTTGTACCATAGTGGTTGCTGTTTTTTGCTATACTGTGTGATTACAGACAGGGCTCTCTCTGTTTCGAGGGCGAACTATAACTGAAACACGAACTAGAGCTGAAATTAATTATGCATGACGTTAACATACGAAGCCACGCCCCCTCGGCTGAACCCGTTGTATTTAGCAACTACCCACTTTACGATATCGCCGTACCTCTGTTTCTCTCTAGGAACTTTCTAGGTGGCGCTATATTAATTCGAACTGAAAGCACTAAAGTCGATCGTCGTTCGCTCGAGTTCCTACAATAAGCATGGCTGCCTTTGGGGACGATCTTTTTAGTGTTTTTGAAGAACCGGCAGGCTCATCCCTTATTGAAAAACAAAATGAAAGTATTGAAGATACTTCAGAGATAGAATGGTATTTAAAATTATTGTTTTACGCTTCAGTGACAGTTTGTAGGGAGCCTAGCCTGGCCCTAGGCTAGGCCTAGCTTATTTCACTTGAATTGAAGGACGACAGGTGCGTATTGTCCCAGATGCAACGGGGACACTACAGCTTCGGCCTAGCAGCAGAGAGTTGTTGGGCCTAGGCCTAGACAGGCGTTGATAATTAATAACTTAAAATTTAAACTCTAAATTCTCAGCATGTACTTTTCGGTTAGGTAGTACTTGCTTGATACATACTTGATGATAGTGGGTCGATGGGAAGCTTAAAGCTTATACAAAGACCCATTAAACACATCTTGACAAATTCGCTTTAACACAACATGACGGTTGGGGGATCCAGCAAATGAATATGTACAGTAGTATTAATGGTCATGTCATGATGAAATAATGTTACATTAAAGATATGTAAAATCGAATTTAAATGTTGTGTCCTTCAAATGAGTGTTCAATAATGATTTGAATTGATTCAAACTAGAGGCATAAACAACCTCATGTGGTTGGAAGACTATTTCATGGATCAACAACTCTGCATCCAAATGAGAATTTCCTTACATCCAATCGAGACCTACTTTTGTATAACTTAAAGTCATGACCTCTGGTCATAGTGTTTAAAATGAAAAAATTGATTTATTGAAATATCAATACTATCAATTCCATGAATAATCCTAAAGTATAAACTTGAATCATGTCAGCCCTTGCCCTTCTGTATTCTAATGTGGGAAGTCCTAAATATTTTGTCTATCAACAGGGTATGAAAAGTTGTTTACATGCAACACAATCTTAGAAGCTCGTCTTTGAACAGATTCTATTTTCTTTATTAACCCAATATGACGAGGTGCCCATACACAACTATTGTACTCTAAAATAGGACGTATTAAGAACTTATACTGTATATAATCAAAAACATATCTTTATCCATATTAGTATAAATACTATTATGTTAGTGCATGATACCATAAGATTAATAAGACATTCATTTACTTACATTGAAAATCAAATCCAAAATTAGGCCTAGTACACTAGGCCTGGGCCAGCAAGAGTAGGGCCTAGTAGTACCTAGGCCTACTGTAGCTAGGTAGATGTTGGTTGGTGGTTGGAGCTGGCTTGACTAACACCAAACTGAAACTTTAGTCTTGCTATTTACGTCATGTCGGAACAACGCAATTATTGTTTGGTTTTAGTATTAAATACCCATCAAAACTTAAAGAATACAAACTTTTTCTGGGAATGATGGTATGTCTTTTCATAATATATAAATTAAAATTTTTGTTTTCTTTTGCAATGTAATTTTATATTAGCTTTTATTTTAAAATGTGCACACTTGTGGTGTTTGCAACTGTTTCTGAATTTGCTTAATTTCAGTGGGGAGAAACGTCCACTTCCTGATCCAGGAGAGAGTGAAGAAGGCAGTAAACGTGTGCGAGTTGGACTTACAGATGAAGACTTAAAGTAATATGGACCAAATAATCAATTTTTTTTTTCATTTTTTTTTTATCCTTCCAACTTACCTGATTCAATCTGTATTTTCATGTAATCTCCAAGTCCCATAAATTCTCCAAAATTTTCAGAAAGAACCCCAAGATACTATAAAAAGAATAACTAATTAGTGACTTTGATACCAATAATTGAGTATTTTTGCTTTGAGCACCAACTTAATCAACAATGTTGATGTACAAAGGCTTTCTATTTGTTACTGACACCCTAAAAGATCAGAATGCATGCATGAAAAAAAAAAAACTTAGATTGCAACATTTTAGTGGTGGGATGCACTTGACCAGCGCACACCCAGTCTCCCAAATTTTGAGTTCCAGGAATCCAGGGGTTGGAATGTCTGTATAGTAATGCTATTTACAAAGACGACTGAATGCATTTTAAATAGGACTACTATGCATAGTACAAATAGAAATATATATTCTTAAAACTATTGCAAATTTATAGTACTTAACCAAACAGTTGATGCCCAAAAGAATTTCAACAATGGTAGATGAGTTTTTCCATTGGTAATTTATGATCAACAGCTTGGCTGAAATTTTACCAAAGGTGTCTGTACACCCTGTTGAAGGAACAATTCCTGGCTGTACTCATGAAGTAGCTGTGCCTACAGACGAAGAATATGAAGAGTTGAAACCTATGGCAGAGGGCTACAAGCCTGCTAAGGTAGACTTGATTTAAGTTTTTCCTCACAATTTCATGACACCAATAGGCCTGATACTGACATAATTAATGTTGAAATATTCAATCCCGACACGATGGCATGCATTTCAATAGGCCTATATATGCAAATATAGAAAAAGGATAAAAAGTAATAATTTATATCAAATTTCAATGCTGTGAAGTACTTGGAAGCATTGTTGGTATGAAGTGGTGTATAAGTCTAACGTATTGTAAACAATTTGGTTTCCGTAAAAACTATTCTACATCTTATGTCTTAATTGATCTTATTAACAACATTTCTGATTCAACCGAAAATAAAGTCTTTTCTGGCGGAGTATTTATTGATCTTCCCAAAGCATTTGATACCGTTAGCCATGACATTCTTATCTCTAAACTTTTTAATCATGGTATCCGCGGAACCTCCCTCAACCTATTTAAAGATTATCTTACCAATCGCTATCAATGTACACTTTTAAATTTTAATATTTCTGATTTTAAGCTCTTGCTTGTGGTGTCCCACAGGGTTTTCTTTTTGGTCCTCTTTTATTTCTTCTTTACACTAATGATCTGTCTCTCAAAATTTAATATTTTACCTTTATGTTGACCTTCTACATGGAACCATTATATACTGAGTAATTTAAAGCTGTTAAAGAACTATATATATATATATATATCAGATAATATTACCATTCGAAGAACTGACCATTATATCTGCAAATAATGTTTTTTATTAATGATTATTTGTGATTCTTTCAGGAATACCCTTTCATTTTAGATCCTTTTCAGAAGGAAGCTTTGAAATGTCTTGAGAATAATCAATCAGTTTTGGTGTCGGCCCACACATCTGCAGGAAAAACAGTTGTAGCAGAGTAAGTAGTTAGTAAGAAAGTGAATAGATTAGTTAATGTGGAAAAAACTGGAATGATAAGGCAAAGTAAAAAAAAGAAGTAGTTTCCCATCCTAATATTTTGCAAAAAAGGAGAATGAGGGCATTTTTTTTCCCTTCGTGATAACACATCCATGATGGTCAATGGGAAATAGCTACTACTTTCTCACTTTTACCAACTAGACAGATTGAAAGCAAATAAAAGAAGCACTAGACATAATTCATACAATGTATCCCCAACCACAAACGATCGAGAGAAGAATTTTACTCATGTGAGTTAGCCAGATTTTTGTACATTTTGTTAAATAAAGGAAATTTAAAAAAATTTTTAAATAAGAAAATTTGATGAGGCAGAGAAAATGGATGCGTGAGGGGACTAGAAACTAGTATTTTTTTTTATTTGGCCTAATAATAAAAGGACATTATTTAAAGTTCCTCTGTATTAGTCTGTTTTGAATTTAACTTAGTTTCCATGGTTATTAGAAGAATAGATTTGATTTCATATTATGTTTTATTGTTATGTATTGCTCTAAGTATGTTTACATGGTGCTGTATAAGCATGTATATGCATTATTGTTGTTATTCTAACTAATAATCACAGTGAATATGGTGTGGTTTCACTATTTAACTGAAAATAATGATAAACCTTTCATCTTAAAAATTTGAAGCAAAACAACTTACTAACCATTACAGTTTAGTAGTTGGAACATATTAGTCCTACCTGTAAATACCAAATTTTACACATTTAGATTAGCTAATCACAGGTGCCTTCAAAAATATAATTTGTTATTAGGTGAAAGAAAAAAACAATAAAGCATTATTTTAAATTTCTGAGGGCATTGGTGGAAAATAGTGACCCAAAAAAGCCATTATATCCTGGAAAAAAAGACTATAATTTGCAATTTACTGTTAACTGATGAATAATTAAATATAGTTAAAAAGCAATACATCTTTACTGTTAAAAACAAAACCATTATCAACTGGAATAATGGCAATAGTATTTTATTAGTGATAAAACATTTGCTTCAATTTAGATATGCCATTGCCATGTCATTAAGGAACAAACAGCGTGTAATCTACACCACACCAATCAAAGCTCTTAGCAACCAGAAGTATCGAGAAATGTTTGAGGAGTTCCAAGATGTAGGGCTGATGACTGGTGACGTCACCATAAACCCCACTGCTAGCTGTCTCATCATGACAACAGAGGTAAGTACTTTTGTCAATTCTTTGTTGTTTTTCCACCAATCAGTCTATCTATGTTGCTGCGGTGGTAGAGATAGTGGTGTACTCTAGGGCAGTGTGGTGGTGATTGAGATGATGGTGATGGTAACAAGGATGGTGATTATCAGTCTTGCAGCAATTACTATATCTTTTTTGCTATTACAACACGTCCATAATGTGTATATTATCTATGGATGAACCCAACTGCCTATGTATAATCCCTTTTGGTTGTGATAATTATATTTATATCAGATTGCCATTGATAGTTTTGCAAATAATATTCCTAAAACTAAAATTTTGTGTATTTATTACATGATTGACATAACTATTGTTATAACCAACACATATTTTGTGCCAGTTGGAGTATGTAAATTTGCACTCTCTCAGTGTCACCAAATGCTAGCGCTGGCTGTATTTACAGAAATGGTGTGGCTACAAAAGAAACCTGGTGATGGCTATCATGATTGTTATCAATATTTTAATAATTATTTTAATTACACCTATACTTGATTCTCCGGACGCAAATCCAGTTATTGTCTATTCCATCACAACAATAACAATTACTATCAATATTTTATTCATCACTATTTATTGCTGTATATTTTGATACAAATTATACAGACCAAAGGCTGTTGTGAGCAATGTAAATTAACTCATTAATGGTTTTTTTTTTTTTTTTTCAAGATTTTGAGGAGCATGTTGTACAGAGGGTCAGAGATCATGCGAGAGGTCGGCTGGGTCATTTTTGACGAGATCCACTACATGCGAGACAAAGGTTGGTTAAGTTTGTTGATTTGGTTCAATATGTTAAAAGAATATAACTGAGTGAAGAATGAAAGTTCATTTATGATGATTCATATTGATATATTGTAAACTAACTGATTCTTGCTTACATTTAAACACACCTTGAAAAACATTTCCTTGTGACCATTCAGAGACTAGCACATGTACCTCTTGTCAGGCAGATTTGCATGATTGCAGTAGTATAAATCTGATTTGTTTTTTGTTTTTGTTTTAGAGCGAGGTGTTGTGTGGGAAGAAACCATTATTCTTCTGCCAGACAATGTGCATTATGTGTTCCTGTCAGCTACAATACCAAATGCCAGACAGTTTGCAGAGTGGATCTGCCACCTTCATAAACAAGTGAGTTCTAATAGGCAGTGACAATAATGGGTAAATAGATGGATCTGTTTTGAAGAAAATACAGTAGAACTGTCCTTTGGGACATACTACTAAGAGGACACCCCTATTAAGGGGAAACCCCTATTAAGGAGACAATTTTTTGAGGGAAAATATATCTACTAACAATACTGTTAACCCAATTAAGTGGATACCCCTATTAAGGGGACACTTTTTTTGGTCCCGAAGCTGTCTCCTTAATATGGGTTCTATTGTAGTCCACATGTATGCTTAAAAACCTGAATTGCCTTATGAGAGAGATGGATGTAAATTTCAAGATGCCATTCCAACAAATGTAAATATTCCCACTAGCGTAGTACATTGCTTATTAATACTGCTTTGCTAGTATATCTACTATACTGGTACCCCTTGCAATTCTACTACTGTATACTGCCACCTAAATCTAATGTAAACATGAACATTTTCTTTCAGCCTTGTCATGTTGTGTACACTGACTACAGACCAGTTCCTCTACAGCACTACATCTTTCCCGCTGGCGGTGATGGCCTTCATCTTGTTGTAGACGAGAAGGTATGTAGTTTTTAGTGATAATGATAAGGGAGATGTTTTCAGAAGCAGTGATGGTTGAGGTGGTTGTTGTTTATGTGGTGGTGGTAATTTTAGTGATTTTTTGGTGGTAATGGTAGAGATTTTGGCAGTGGCGGAGATGTTGGGAATGTTGATGGTACACATGTTGGTGATGTTTTTGGTAGATGGTGATGGTGGAGATGTTGGTAATCCTGGAGATTTTTGAGGTGTTGGAGGTTTTGGTGGTGAAGATATTAATGGACATACTGGTAATGATTATGGAGATGTTAGTAAGGATTGTGGAGATTCATCTATTTCTTTTCAGGGAGACTTTCGTCAGAACAACTTCAATGCAGCTATGTCTGTTCTGCGGGATGTTGGTGATGCATCAAAAGGAGATATGTCTAATAGAGGAAGGAAAGGAGGAACAAAAGGCAAGTTTATAATGGAAAACTAAGATGAATTTATTTAAAATTGAGAGTAAACTTAATAATTTTTTTCCAACCTATACCTAAATGCTTATCCAAATCTACAAGCCAGATATAATACAAATATGTACACACTTGCAATGTAATAGTCTGTTCTATTTTTTTCTCTGTTGTTTTTGAAATCCCTGCATCATTGTTTCTGCTCGCGCTTTTCGTTTAACTTACCTTTTGTTTACTTGGACATGGCGCTTAGAGACCTTGTTTATTTGCGCCATATAAATCAACCTATTATTATTTTTTATTATTATAATTTCAATTGTATCATCATCATTATTATTTATCTGTTAAATTTATTGTTATTAAATACCTGTTTCTACCAGGTCCATCAAATATTTTCAAAATTGTAAAGATGATAATGGAGAAAAGCTTCCAGCCTGTGATCATCTTCAGTTTCAGTAAGAAAGAGTGTGAGGTATATGCCCTACAGATGGCCAAGCTGGACTTCAACACACCAGAGGAGAAGAAGCTTGTGACAGAGGTCTTTGACAATGCCATTGATTCCCTCTCTGATGAGGACAAAACGCTTCCCCAAGTAAGAACCAGTGATTACTGTTTCTACGTCAATTTCTTTTTGTCCCGTTCGGGAGTATTCAATGCGTGCTATGGTTTGTGGCACCCACCATTTGAAACCACTTCTTCATGGTGTTCCTCTGTTAGAATATTAAAGATCTTGTGTATAATTTGTATGATGCAATAACTGTTGTACTGTGTGAGATATTGGTCATAGAGTGTGAAAACTTAAGAGAGGCCTTGAATGCATGAGTCTTATACCCATAGCTTGAAATTTGGTTGGTTTAAAGATAAGAAATGCAGTTTCCGTGTATATGTCTATGTTTTGATTTTATGTTTTCATTCTATGTGAATCTTTTTTATTTTGTTTTTATCTCTATTTTTGCTTGCTTTCAGGTCGAAAATGTCCTCCCTCTGCTAAAGAGAGGTATCGGGATCCATCATTCCGGATTACTCCCATTGCTGAAAGAAGTGATTGAGATTCTTTTCTCGGAGGGTCTTATCAAGGCATTGTTTGCGACTGAAACATTTGCAATGGGACTGAACATGCCGGCAAGAACTGTGGTCTTCACCAATGCTAGGAAATATGATGGCAAAAGTTTTAGATGGGTCAGTAAAATATTATTTATTGTGTTTAATATCATCAGCATTTTTTGTATTATTTAGCTCTGTCTATATTATGAAGTTTTAGTGACAAATGACTATGATTGGAATCATCATGCCCTTATATAAGCAAATCACACACATAAGTTGTCATAACCTTAAAGTGTAGACAGAGGTGTAGCCTGTCATTTTTTCAATTTCTGAGTTCCCTGTTGGGAGTATTACATTCAAACCTGTACTTAGTTACTTCATCGTAAAAAAGGAATAACGTTGATATGATGCCTTTTTTAAGGAAAACATTATATGACAACCCTAAGATCTAAACCCCTGACCCATTAATTGGAAGCCCAACGGCATACCATTGTGCACTTAATAAGCAATAAGCCATTTCATAGTTTAAACTGCGCATGCCCATATCAAGGTCAGTCAACAAAACAAACATACGCCGCATACACACAACATAGGTTTATGTCAATTGACCTTGGATACCAGCATGCGCAGCTCAGACTACGAAATGAATTATTGTCATGGTGCCTAGTTCCCACTTATCTGCCACACGTATTATTTACCTACTTGTGTTTTGTGTCCTACAGCTGACCTCAGGTGAGTATATTCAGATGAGTGGTCGTGCAGGTAGGAGAGGCTTAGATGATCGTGGTATTGTCATCCTCATGGTAGATGAGAAGATGAGTCCAAACATTGGCAAAAACCTTCTACAGGTGAGTGCAGTTAAATTTGATACCAGGTGGATAAAATGTTAATTAGGTATTATTTATTTTTTTACTTTTTTATTGGTGTTGGTAAATCTGCAACGCGAACCAGAAATGTCAGCTAATTAACCAGCCAAAAGTGATTAAAACACCCTTTGATTGAATGAGTGATTGATTGAATGAGTGATTGATTGATTGATTGGTTGATTGAGTGATTGATTAATCGAATGAGTGATTGATTGATTGATTCAGTGAGTGGGTGAGTGATTGATTGGTTGATTGATTAATTGAGTGAGTGAGTGATTGATTGATTGATTGATTGATTGATTGATTGATTGATTGATTGAGTGAGTGAGTGATTAATTTATTGATTCCTCTTGCAGGGCCAACCTGATCCACTGAACAGTGCGTTTCATTTGACGTACAACATGGTGTTGAATTTACTACGAGTGGAGGAGATTAATCCTGAGTACATGCTTGAAAAATCTTTCTACCAGTTCCAGAATTATGTTGCAATACCTGAACTCATAGAAAGTATGTTATTTTATTATTATTATTATTATTATATATTTTTAATATTAAAGCTTATCCCAGTAAATAATCTGATAATTAAAAACAATTTATAATTCATAAATTGTTTTTAGTTCATCAACACATTTTTTCAAGTCCTTAGCAACATTATTTTTATATTTAAAATTGAATAGGAAGTATTATTATTTCATGTCTCTAGGATATATATTTTACGAGTTATGAGATCAAAGGTCAAATTTGCAATGTCATCAAATCTTTAACATGTTTGAATCTTTCGTTCCAGTTTACATGCCAAATTGTTTTTTTCTACCTCAATATGAAGTATAATGGGTCTAAGAAACCCCACTATTATTATATATGCAGAGATCTTGAATAAATAATCAATATCATTTTTATCTCTCTGTCCTTCCTTTTTTATGTTAATGTCTTCCTTTTGATTTTGTTCAGAATTAAAAACCCTGGAAGAGGATTACAATAGTATGAGTGTACCCGATGAGGAGAACGTTGAAACGTATTACAAAATACGCCAGCAGCTAGAGAGATTAAGAACAGAGATACAAGCAGTGTTAACAAAACCTAAGCATTGTCTCCCGTTCATGCAGCCTGGTAGACTTGTTCATGTGAGTATCTTCTGATGACTGATAACATTAGCATTGGATGGGTAGTACTGACAGTCGAAGCCATGCCGTGGTATCTTCATCAAGGTCTTTGAGTCGTTGTTCTACTTCAGGTCGTCTGAAGTCAAGGCAGTCATGGATGATGTGATTGATAGTGTGTGGTCTGTCACATTAACACAGATAATTGATATAAATGATGATAACAATGACTATAATGACTATGAGAATATACAGGATGATCAAAATGGTTTTGATGACGATGATGACGAAACGGAAAAAGGTTGATATAAGATAGGCAGCAGAAAGGGTGGAAAATTGGAGCAGACCAAGAGGGAGACCCAGAAAGAGATGGATGGCCTGCATCAGACAAGATGGAAGATTGGTGCGCCTAGAAGCAGCAATGGATCACACCAGATGGAGGATGATAATGAGACAACCCGATCCCCCATGAGGAGACAAATGAGATGAAGTTGACGATGATGATGATGATGATGATGATGATGATGATGATGATGATGATGAAGAAGAAAATAATCACTAATAATGGTATTGAATACAATGATAATAATAATAACATTATACATTAAAAACCACTGAATTTCGTCTTTTACATTTCAAGGTAAAAAATGGTGATGATGTCTTTGGATGGGGTGTCATTATTAACTTCAGGAAGAAAGCCAACCAGAAGATGGCTTCACCAACGGATGACTCTCCACTTTATGTTGGTGAGGTTCTCCTGGATGTTTCAAAAGAGAGCATAAAAAATGCTGCCACAGAATCTGCTAAACCACCTGCTGAAGGTGAAAGGGGAGAAATGACTGTAAGTGAAGCTGTGGATAATACATTTGCAAAAAAACTAATATAGATGCAAGTTTCTTTAAATAAGTTTTCCAAATGATAGCCATTAAAAATTGCTTTTATGTTGGCGGTTTCAGCTCGAAACTCAATAGTAAACAAGGCTTGAGTTTCGAGCCGAAACATCAACATAAAAGTAAGTATTTTTTACTATCATTTTGGTCTAATTTAAAGAACTGTACATATATATTACACCAACAAGACCAGACGAAAGCCTTTGATCATTTAGTAAAATAATTAAACTTTCGGTACACCATTGTCTCAATTGTGGCAATCAACCATTGGTTTTATCTTAAAAACCATAATTTTTTTCACATATTGATTCTCGCCATGCAAACCTTCCAAGAAATATTTTCAAATAAACTTTCTTTTTTTCATTTTAAATCAACTGAACTAAAAGGAAAGATACTGAAATATCTTTGTTGTGGAAGCATTCATTTTTTGTAAAAATCAAGCATTTAAAAATTGCCATTTATATTGCTATTAGGTTGTTCCAATTATGCTTCATCTGATAACGAAAATAAGCAGTGTAAGATTGTACATACCTAAGGATCTGAGACCCACAGATAATAGGCAGAGTGTTGGCAAATCAATACAGGTAAGGGTATTTTTTTATACATTATTTTTCAAATTCACTGCTTGCCAACATGATAATTTCTTATAAAATTAAATGTCAGTTTGGCCTGTTAGTGTGTGACCGCCAGATGCAGATTTAAAGGAGGGGTGGGGGGGTGGCGCCACAGGGGGATTGTGCAGCAAGCCCTAGTAAACAATGGAAAAGTCTACTACACATGGTATAAAATATAACATGACCTAATATAAAAATTGATACTTGATATAAATTATCATTTGAGAATTTCACACTGACTACAGAGATACAATTATTGATAATACAGTAGTAAAAATTTACATATACATATATTTTCCAGGAGCTTCATGCTTGCTCGGTGGAGGCCATCCTGATTTCTAGGAGACTCCCGCCACTTGCTTGAGACTTGGGACGATTGTGTTTCTATTTCCACACATTTATGTTATTTTCGTTGCCCACAGGAGGTACAGAGAAGATTTCCAGATGGTTTACCACTTTTGGACCCAATTGATGATATGGGAATTAAAGACAAAGCTTTGAAGAAAATAGTAGAGGTGAGAAATGGTAAACGTAGATTATTAAGGCTACGTTCAGACTTGGAGATAAGCCAGGCTTGAGTAAAGCCTGGCTCAACTTTAAGCCCGGCTTAACTTTGCCGGGCTTTCCGACTAGTGGGTTTAGCCAGGCGCAAGAATTTGCATAATGAACCGTAACCAGGAAACGTGTTTCAAAACATTGTTCGCGAAATATACGTACGCTCGCTCACAGCGTACGTAATTAAATGCTGATTGGTCATTTTGTTACCCGGAAGTCAATGCAAGACCCCCCTCGCAACTATTAAAGCCCGGCTTAGAAAAGTTAAACACGGTGGCACGCCAGGCCTTGTTACTATAGGAACACAGCCTGGCTTGAGATAAGCCACCTAGTTCAGACTGGCAGGTGGATAAACCTGGTGAGTTGAGCCGGGTTTATCCACCTAGTCTGAACTAGGCCTAAGTAGGAGTGTGATGGCATATAGTGGTATGTAACAATGAAAACAATGATGGATCATTTCATTTAATTTATTATTCCATAACACGAAGGTGAATAAAACAAACATGTATAACAGCAGGTCAAAATGACATGTGACAGGATTGCCAAAAAATTAGGAAATAAATCTGCTGTCAACATAACAACAATACAGTAACAATTACGAACCTCTCTTTTACGAACTCTTGATTTTACAAACCCAATTTGCCGCGATGACATCATTATGAATGATCGTTTTTAAATACAAAAACACTTAAAATTTTGCTTAAAAGTCTTTAAAAATAATATAAAATGCTCCCATGGCAATGCTTAGGCCTACATAGCCCTGTGCTTTATAGCATAGGCCTAGGCCTACCCTCACCAAACTGAGATGCTATGGATATTCAAACTCTCTGAATTATGAATTTTCTCATTTACGAACTCTATTCGGACAGAGGGGTATGTAGTTGTAAAGCGTTACTGTACAAAATGTTCATACAACCAGTTAATCATACACAATTCAAACATAATATAAACTTAGTAATAGTGATGTACTGTAGTGGTATTGTGGCAATGATGATGGCATTGACAACAGTAATGTGCTTATAATTATCATTAATCTTCATAATTGATCCTTTTACATATTTTATTCTTAAGTACATCATCACACATTAATCAGAAATAATATTTTTTGGTTATGCTTGCAAAACAGTCAGAGAAAAATATGTATTAAATGCCAGGACAATAATATCATACATTTAGTAGTGATGCTGTTTACTCCCATTCTACATTGCAATACTTTGTATGTTTTTTGTTTTCATTTTCAGAAAGTTGAAGCATTTGAAAGCAGAATGGTGAACCATTCCTTACACAAGGACCCAAAACTGAACGAAATATATTCAGCTTATGAAAAGAAAGCACAGGTAAATATTGTTGCCTTTAAAAAAAGAAAAAAAAATCTTTTTTCAACTAGGTTTGTTTTAATTTATATTTGTTAATTTTTTTGTATTCAGCTTTAGGCACTAGGGCCAAGGATATGCCAATCATTGAACCTAATCAGTTATCAAAGTGGCAATCCCATCACAAGAATGCAAACAAGTTGCTTCATAAACTAAAGTCTTATTATGAGCCTTAGGAGTGGAGATATTTTGGTCGTGATCAGTGGTGGCGCCAGCTGGGGTGAGCAGGGGGTCATGCCGACCCCTTGAAGGAAAATTTCTAGCGCCATCGCTGGTTGCAGGCCCGTAGCCAGGGGGGGGTTTTATGGTTCGGGCGAACCCCCACTTTTCTAGCGAACCCCCTCGAATTTTTTAATGAGTCACACTCGGACGGAATGTCTGTTTTTAACTTACCCAGCATTAAATCAAAATTTAGCACCTAATTCATTATTTGGTCACCCATTTTTAAATTGTAGCCTGCATTCATAGAATATCTCAGCTTCAGAAGTTCGGAGATTTATATTGAACACAACTCCGGCAAACCATGACTTTACGATAGCTCACATAAGGATGGCAAACATCGATAAAAACTTTCACTGGCCTTTGGCTGAATGTTTGTAAGAAATGTACCAACCGGTAATGAAACCGGTCTCTGTCTACCTACTGTAGAGTAAATGGCGCCACCAAACGAAGATAAAGTTTTGCGACTTAATCCACCAAATGCAGCTAAAGTTTTGCGAATTAATGATTGTGGATTGTGTGGTTAGTAAATTCCATAGCCATACTGTCCATAGCGCACACTAAACTATTTGCTGATGGAGCATTTTTGGGAAATTGACTCTACTTTTTTCCATCCCAAACAACATATTATTAATAAATTAACATGGTCCATCTCAGTCATCATAGCGAGTCACAAAATTAGGAAGTTTGACACAGCAGACACACACAGCAGACACACACAACAGAACGGAGTGCGTCAAAATCTAAAAAATACATACTGGCATTTTGTAATACACATTCCCTTGTTGTACAGTATTTCATTAACATAACATACACTTAGGATCGCCAACGAATTGGGTGGGTATTCAAACTTTTACGATATGGTGAAGTATTTCGATTAAAATGTTAAAGTGATTATATAAGAATTAGATGAGTCACTGTCAATAAAACAATTCGCGGAAGAGGAGTATTCAAAATATCGGCTAATGTTAATATAGGACTAATCAGATGACTGACGCCGTTCTCCATCGACAATTGATTTTATGTGCATTATTTATCTACAATTCTAATCTATAGTACATACACTAGAGAATATTTACACTCACAATTTTAAAAAAAAAGTTACCAACAACGACATCTAAATAGCTGTGGGAAAAACAAATTATCAGTCTGCTGCTCTCTGCCTGAATAGTGATGGTAACTGAACAATAATGGTGCAGCAACACGCTTGGTCTACTTGTAAAAATTTAGAGACTTCTGCTGTTTGCCCATAAAACAAATTTTGGAGTGTTATACAGTACAATTTCAAAACATTGTCATCGTAAAGAAACAGCTGTAGTATTGAAAACAAACAACTTGAAACAAAATCGGTGTACGAATTTAAATAAATATTTACAATAGATTTTAATGGTCAACTTGTTGACAAATTTTACAACCAATTTTTGCATACATTTGTGAGTGACGGTGTGTAATAGACATGCAAAACAAACAGCGGTAAGCTGTATAATATCTTTGAATATCATTTTAGATCGATTCATTCATATGCTTGGTCATCTTGTAATCATTTAGATTTCAACAGTTTTTAATAATAGGGTCCGTATCTCTACACTTCTAGACGTAGTATCAAATTTTAGTTGCCGTAGACCCGGTTTCATACACACTCGCTTAAGTAAATTTCAAAGGAAACTGTTTTCCCAATTTTTCTTATTGTTAAATACTCCTATGCAATACTGTTGGCCCCTGGTATAAAATTGAGAGATCAATTAGACACTCAAAAAGATCGATTATGCCCTTTTATATAATAAGGCCATAGGCCTAATGTGTGTGAAGTACAGACTTTGTTAATATCGAATGGGTGAAATTGCGCATAAACTTCAAACTCTTGGCCTAACATAAATGCCAGAGGAAAGGATATCACATTTTAGTCACCTAAAAGGATTTTCCACGGACGCACAGAGTAGGCCTTCGAATAGTATGGCCCAAAGCGAATGAGTTTCTGGTCTCGAAAATCCAGACACTTCGTAAGGCTTATACAGTACAAAATACTGTACAGTATATAATTATATAATTCATTGAAAAAGCTTTAAAATGAAGGACTTTTAAATGAAGTTTATGTATACAGTATATACTAATATTTTGCGAATCTTGGTTTTTTGAAAGCAATCTTGGGATTTTTTAGACCCAATCTTGAATTTTGATTTTTCCTAGTGGTCACGCTGCATTTGAGGCAGAATTATACCCTGACGATATCAAACTAGTGTAGACCTAGTCTTAAGTACAGTAGGACGTAGGCCTAGGCTTTTGTTGTAAAAGTTGAAGTGCATGTACAGGATGCGACATAGGCCTATATTTAAAAAACATAATACATTTTGTTAATTATTATTGGTTGGCCTGGGACCTAGGCAGGCAGGACAGCTTTGCCGTCGAAAGTCCTGGGATTCGACGATGACGTCAGTGCACATGTTTACAAACGCCATTGATTGGAATGAAAATAGACGCACTGAATTTCGTTTGTTTTATGAAAGATAATATTTATCGAACAATTATCTATTTAAAAACAAGATTATTATTGTAGAAATTTTATTTCTAAAGATTCATATATAATTCATATTTCATTTGGTAGACAATAAATATTCAGTAAGATACTAAAAATGATTATTAATTCTGAAATGTGCATCAAATCTCAGCTATTATTAATCAGTATGTATTAGGTTAAAGTCTTAAAACAATAATTTCGAATTAGGCCTAGTAAACAAATAATTGTAATTAAAGTTTAAGTTCCCATGATGTCAGATGACGTATTCAATATGATGCTATATTTTGGGATCTGACTTAATTTAACGATGGCCCTGTCAGTTGTAGTAATGACAATATTTATGCTTTTTTAGCCATGTAGTAAAAATAGTACTATTATTTTCAGTGTACAAGATGAGAGTCAAGAAGAAGTTCAGCTTCTACTTTATTTTGTAACAGGCAACTCTATTTTTTTATATAGGCCTACTGGAAGATTCATTATTTAAGTTAATACAACTTACAAGACAAAACTTCTTAAATGTTTTATATATTATAATAATAAGTACATAATTCTTTGTAAATTACTTTATAGGCCTATATAATAACTTGTTTTGTTTTATAATAATAAATGTGTTAAGTATATTGATATTGATTATGCAATGAGGTGTTATTTTTTTGTCTTTCGGTGTGATTAAAACGTGCCAATTCTCAGAAAATATTTTCCAATTTTATTATATTACCACCTTTTATTACATAGATCTTTTTCAAAACTGCTTTTATAACATTATATAGACCCATTAAACACAAAAACTGCTCTGGCTTCGGGAGCTTCGCCCCCGACCCCACCGAGGCCATTAGGCAGTCCCCTGGACCCCACGCCCAGAGAACCCCCCTTTAAATGACCTGGCTACGGGCCTGGGTTGTGATATAAACTCCTGTTACCGGGACAGGAATTGAACACAGGACCCTGGGATTGGAAAGCAAGCATCTTAACCACCAAGCTGTTCAACTTCCTCTGAAACCATGTCTTACAAGGGTAATCCACCAACAAAGCTAATCGTTTGGGACCTTCAATCTTCTATAATTTTCTTTATAGGGCCTGATTAAAAAAATGAATAGATCTTCTACTGTAAGTTTCTTCATAGGGCCTGAATAAGAAATTGAAAATACAAAACAGTATTCAACACAAAGAGGTAATGTCTATTTTAATTTGATAAGTCAGTGTGGTTTAAAAACATCACATATTTTGTGTAATCTGTTGACAGATTGGTTTAGATATCAAGGCAGCAAAAAAAGAATTGAAGAGAGTTAAAACAGTGATAAAAATGGACGAGTTGAAATGCCGGAAGAGAGTGCTAAGGAGGCTGGGCTACGCAACTTCTGCAGATGTCATTGAGCTCAAAGGAAGAGTGGCGTGTGAAATCAGCACGTAAGTAGAAAATTAAACACAAATGTAATGCATATTGCAACATGTCGGTTATCGTGGGATTAGGGGTTCAAACATCGCTCTGCATTTTCACTTTGTTTTTAGACAAGGCAGTGGTCTGGAGAAACAGTAAACTGTGTTACCTGGAAAGTCCAAACACCAATGCATTAATGCAACACAATTATTGTCTGCTTCATATGGCATTTGATTCAGTGACCAGGGTAATAATGTGAAAAGCATTACAGTAGGCACATTATAAACTATTTATTATTTAAAATAGGGAGTCTGAATTAATTCTTTTAATAACATCTGGACATGTGATTATATAACAAATCATGCAACTACATCTGGACATGTGATTGATTAATTCATCGATTGATTGCTTTTATAACAAATCATGCAACTTCTTTTGTGCCAGTTCGTAATTTTTTAAATTATATTTAGAACCATGATATTAAGCATGTAGCCAATACCAATGTAGTTGTTATGTAACTATTGTTGATTTTATATATATATATATATATATATAAATCATCAAAGAAAGTATATATATATGAACATTCTTCACGATCTGATAGTGTTATATTTGATCATGTTAAAAACTGTGAGGCATTCCAATATGTTTTAGGATTAAAGGGTATACAGTACTTGAAAATGATAATGTCGTCTGTAATGCAAGTAATAAATTAGGTTTAATATTTTCTAGTACTAACATTATTGACAGCTCCCGAAACTGGTCTATCCTATTGTTTAAAGAAGCGTTCGCTATACGTAGACTACACCCTTTGCATAACAATGGGCTCAGAGCTTCAAAAGAGCTTTCTTTGTTTTTGTAGGTATCTTTGATCATTAGAATAAGAATGCTTTGATCTTTTGTTTAAATCACTGCTATGTCACCTACTAGAGGTAATGTTTTGATTGGTTAAACACTTTTGGTACTAGTGCATATAAGCTTGCTAATATGGATAATTTTTTCATTCCTGATGATGACATAATTAATGTCGAAATATTGAATCCCAACACGATGGCGTGTATTTCAATACTTGGAGTATGTATTATACTTTCTTTATTAATCAGTGGACCTTTCGGTTTTAAACAGTTAAATTACAGTACACAATGGTTAAATAATCATTTAAAGCCAGAGTAGCCTTTAAAGTTTACGTTTTTGGATATTTCTCCGGCAAAGGCCATCACCAAATCGTTAAAAACTATTGTTTTAACATTTAAAAATGAGGAAAATAACAACATAGCATGATGAATACATATAAATTTTAGTGCAATAAAATAGATTTCAAAATGTTGACATTCCAAAACACGATTTGCCAGGAGTGCCTGGTTTGGCTTGTCTTCACTACATGGCTGTAGTTATATCTATATTTTTGTTAAAATAAAAATCACATTTTCTTAAATTCCCACTTTTGCTTTTTTCGGTTTCCGTAGGAAGCATCATCCGTGCAATGAGGCGTCTTGAGGAGCTTATGCGGCAGATGTGCCAAGCGGCAAAAGCCATTGGAAACACGGAATTAGAGAACAAATTCGCGGACGGAATTACAAAGATCAAAAGAGACATTGTGTTTGCAGCTAGCCTCTATTTATAATCCATCAGAAAAATACCTTTGATCTGCAAATATTTGAGTGTGATATGATGTCATCATACCCATATATGGGTTTTATATTACATCATATATGTTTATCACATGACACTTGATAGCGTGAACAGACATGTTATTTACCCTTCGTAACTTGGGATAAATGGACAGATTTACCACCATTGCCTGTTGGTGGAATGCATGTTGCTGTTGACATTATTGATGGGCTCTCATAAAGTCGTGGAAAAAAACAAATCAGTTCTGCAAAGAAACATATTTGTCAATATACTTATTATTGTATGTAAAGCCAGCTGAATCAGTGAAAGTCTCTCCCATTAATTTCTCAGCTATTGACTGATTGATAAGGATCTTATTAAAATAACCATATTCTCACTGGCCTTTTGATGGTAATAGAAGGTTTTGACTCATGGCGTGTTTATTAGGCAATGTAAACCATATTGATTCAGGCATACTGCCTCTGGTGAGTAAAATATGATATAGTCAGTCAGGGCTTTCATATACCTGTACCTGGCATTTAATGGAAAACATTGGTAACAGCATGTATGAGAGTATGTCCAGGCCCATGTAACCATGGTACATCATGGTAGGCCATGGTATACCACCAATGTAAAAGTATTATGGGTATAAACATACATCATGATAGGTCAATGACACTTGGTATGGAGGTCAGTACAACACTTTACTTGGTGGTAGAAGGCAGATAATAGGCCTTTTTTAAAAATGTACATTTTCAGTGTTCTTCAGTTCTCATCTTGCATTTTGCGTATTTTACATTTCACAAACAATATAATATCTCAAACATTATTAAAACTCTTCTGTATTTTTTTTATATATCAAACTTTTAACATTGCTTAAGCTTTTTCCAAACTATCAAGTTTTCTTTGAAAAAGAAACCATGGTACATCTGTATATAGTCATGATGTGCCTATATATGGTCATGATGTGATGTTATCGTGACCATATTTAGGCATGTTTTTGTCAAATAAAATTTTAATAGTCAACAGGGGTTGGAAGCATTAGGCCCATAAAATAATGATTAGACTATTACACCCCCTGGCATCACTTTTGTCCGAATCATTGAATAATTATTACTGTATATACTATGTATATTTTCTTAACTGTATTATTGTTTGCTTAGTCAAATACGAATGATAAAACTTCTCTCATCACTTATCCAAGAGGGCTATGTTAATATTCTAATCATATTTACAGTATGTGGCCTTGAGAGAGTAATTATGGATATTTGAGGGCAAAATGCTAGGAGCTCCTGTCTGTTTTCCACTGCTATGTGGTTCCAATATCCATATTTTGTCGTACCTTAAATTTTTTATAACTTAATCAAGAATGTAAAAGCTTTAAATACCATTTTATGTTGAAAATAAATAGTTTTTATTGGATCAATCTATGTTGTCATGAAGTAAACTTTCTTATTTGTCATTCTAAACATGAACCTTGGTTATAAAAATGTGCTCAAGTAAGTACATGAACAGTCAGTATACAATGCATGGCAAATTTGTCAAAAGAAACTGGACTGTTGGTTGGATAGAACTATTAATGCACTGCGTATTTAACGTGCACATGGGCCATATTGCACTCAGGACCAAACATCTCATCTGAAAGACGGTGCGCTATCGTAACATGTATTGCAGCCCTCTAGCTGAAACACAAGGAGAACAATAATGGGATTTGAACCGAGAAATCTCCATGGTTCAGTGCACACGCAGTGGCTACCACCAGTTTAGCCGACTGTGCTGCTTAATTTCATTAGTAAGCAAATCGATTACTTAAATGTTATATATAATCTATGGCCGAGCGTAAGCCTGAGGACCAGCCAACTAGAGGCAGAGCACCATAAACATTTTTTTTAATGGCCGAGTGGGTAAGGCAAGGGGTGTCACAACCTACAACCATAATATTGGCGCTGGTTCGACGACACACACTTACCTATGGTTGAGGAGGTACAAAACATAGGCCCAGCATACACAGTTGGTTCTAAAAAACCCAGTACATCGTTCGAGACAAGTACTGGATACCCCGGTGTACTGATCCATACAGCCCCTGTTGAGGACTGACGAAAGTAGCTGGAATTGAGGGAAACAAGTCAACTCGGCCACAAATCAACTCGGCCACAGAAAGTTCGGCTGCAGTCAACCCGGCCACAAGTCAACTCGGCCACAAGTTAACTCGGCCACAAGTCAACTCGGCCACAAGTTATTTATAATTAAAATGAAATGTAAATATTACAGTTTCTGCATCCTTTTTCTTCAATATGATTAAAATGAAATACACAGTATATTTTAGTAAAATTCTGATCATCGTCTCATCGTCGTGAGATCGTTGTATACATTTCTTCACACTGTACTCTTATTCAACAGAGAAAACCCGCCACTTACAGAATGGAATAAAATCTGACAATTGTAACATTAACAATTTAAGCAATCTTAATAATTAAGAAAAACACATATATTAATGTTTAATTTTGTTCACGTTAAAACACTGACATAAAACAGGAGTACATACTGTAGACCTAATCATAAAAAATTGAAATCAAAATTCCCAAGATTGCATTTTAAATCCAAAGATTCACAAAATATTAGTATATATACATACAACTTCATTTAAAAGTCCAATTTTTAAGCTTTTTCAAGGAATTTTATACTGTACAGTATTTTGTACTGTAGGCCTATAGGCCTAACGAAACAGAGTCTGGATATTCGATACCAGAAACGTCACGTTCTTTATAGGCCAAGAGTGTGAAGTTTGTGCGCAATTTCACCCATTCGATATTAACAAATGCCTACAAATAAGGCCGATAGGCCTACAAAGATATTACATAAAGAGGGCATAAACGATCTTTACCGAGTGTCTAATTGATCTGTCAATTATATAGGCTACTAGAGGCCTACAGTAGGCCTAATGCATGTTAACAATAAGAAAATAAAATGGGGAAAACAGTTTCCTTTTAAATTTACTTCAGCGAGTGTGTACGAAACCGGATCTACGGCAGTAATAAGATAATTAGAAATTGTTGAACTCCAACAATCATTTCTAAATGATTACAAGATGACCAAGCATGTAAGTGAATTAGGGGTGGCGCCAGGATTTGCCCGACGGGGAGTGGGGGGGGGGGGGGGCGAGGTCTCCGACGAGGGTTCAGATTTCCCTGACGAAAGCAAAGTGGGCGCGGTCGAGCTTCGAATAAAAGGTTTCCTAAGTGGTCCTGGGGGCGAAGCCCCCGAAAATTTTGACAATTTAGGGGTTTCAAAGGCTTATTTATTCGATTTTATGGTCTATTAATATGTAGAAAATACATATAATTTTTGTTTTCTCCCCGACGAATTGTGCTTTTTCCCCCGACGGGGGGACCGCTAATGTTTGTTTTGCATGTAGTTGGTCGTAAATATGATAACAAAATGAACCATTAAAATATATTGTAGGCCTAAGTATTAATTTCAATTCGTACACTGATTTTGTTTCAAGTTGTTTGTGTTCAATATTATAACTGTTTCATGACAATGACAATGTTTTAACATCGTACTGTGTACTAAACTCTCCCAAATTTGCTATGGGCAAACAACATGAGACTTTCAATATTTATAAGTTGACAAAGCATGTTGCTGCATTGTTCAGATACGATCACTATTCAAACAGAGAGCATCAGGCTGATAATTTGTTTTTTCCCACAGCTATTTAGATGTAGAACACCGTCACTCTGTCGTCGTTGGTAACTTTTTTCAGATGAAATTATGAGTGTAAAGAGTTGTTAGTGTATAGATAAGAATTGTACATAAATAATGCACATAAAATCAATTGTCGACAGAGAACGGCGTCAGCCATGCCCATCTGATTAGCCCCATATTAATATTACCGATATTTTGAATATGCCTATAGGCCTACTCCTCTTCCGCAAATTAGTTTATTGACAGTGACACATCTAATTCTTATATAATCACTTTAACATTTTAGTCGAAATAGGTTCACCATATCGTAAAAGTTTGAATAACCAATTCGTTGGCGATGTAGTCTTCAGTGTATGTTATGTTAATGATGTCATACTGTACATCAAGGGAGTGTGTATTACAATATGCCACTAAGTATTTTCTATTGTGACCAATTGGTAAAGCGACCCACCAAAGTTAAGACTGTTAAATGATGACGCAAGCCGACGACTTGTAGTACAATTAAAATTATAATTTGATATTGCCCCAAAATCTTTTAAATAGATCTATCTTAGAGAAAAGAGTTTCACTCAGATGTATAAAGATTACTTTTAACATGCCGAAGATTATCTTTGGCCCGTGAAATCAACTCTGAAAAAATTTTGGCCCTTCAAACACATTAATTAAGAACCAGGGCTATAGGTCATGTCATAATAATTATTAGACGCCAAGATATACCTTTATTTAATATGAAGATGTTTTACTATCGTCTTTCTTTCAGTCCAACATTCGAAGATTTTCCTTGTGCCATACGGTATTTATCCTACTACTAAACACCTGGCGCTACAATCAATGACGGACGGTGCGAAGGTCTGGATCCGCGTCTGGACACAATATTTCAAGAGATTTAACTTTAAAATGCACCTTATTATATTTCTGGAAAATGTTGAAATTGCTTTAAACAACAGCCTTCAAACTACAAACTTCCAATTTGTCTTATTTTTAACAAATAAACAGCCCTCATTTACAAAATCAACTGGTAGCAGCCTATTTGTTCACTCCTTGATAAAAAAAAAATTAAAAATGCCATATCATTCCAAAAACCCCAAGATTGAATGAAAATTTAACAAAAAATCACATTACATTGGTAGCTGGTATTGAGACACGAAGGGACCCTTAGGGGCGAAGGAAGATACCGATATGAGCTGCTGTAGTATGCTTTGAGCGCTTTGATCCTCATGAAATAGCGCTACATAAATGATGTTATGTATGATGTAATATCTAAAATATAATACTGTGTAAATGCTAATGAATACTCAGATACGTGAAATGTTGACTTTAGAAACACTAAAATGTATTGCAATAAATATATCAACTATTCCTGTAGTCTTGACAAATGTCAAGCAAGCTATCCCGATTAGGATGTCGAGCTTTGACAAAAACAAAAGAAGTAGTCGAAAATTATTCTTTGCAATCAATTTTAGTGTTTCTAAAGTCAATATTTTATCTATCTTAGTACTATCTCAGACCAGACCAAACCAGACCAGACCAGACCAGAGTCAGAGTGACACATCCGGATTGGGCAGAGGTGTTATCACTCCTTAAGTTAATGCTGATCTGTCCAGTTACCTCATGCGAGTGTGAACGCAGCTTCTCAGCGACTCAAGACCTGGTTCAGAAACAACATGACGCAAAGGAGGCTAAACTGTTGTGCAGTGGCCAACATCCACACGTCAGTGCTGGATGACATTGACATTATGAAACTGGCCAAAGAACTTGTTTCTCGATCAGAAACTCGTAAAAACAAGTTTGGCCATTTCATTTAAGCAGTTATGTGAATAGCGCATATAAATACTCATTTTTATTATGTTTAATACCGTACGGTACTTTACAAAACCATGTTAATACCAGTGGTAATAAAAACAAAACAAAATAGGCACTAAGACGTTTATCGTTCATGAGCGAATGTATTTATTATAAATGTGTAAAAATGAAGAAAGTCAATAAAATACTATAAAATATTTACTTATGCTTCCACTTCTCTTTTTGCTCCACATCAATGACCTCATGGCATTCAACAAGGAAGTGTTGTGAATATCTCACAGACACAGATATGCCATATTGTTAATGGTAAATTTTATTTTCATTTTGATCAAAATTTCACTAAAAGCACAAGTTATTTTGCAAAAACAAGGTTTCCAGCTTCAGAGGGGGGCACATCCCCTGTCCGCACAAGCGCACACATTGGCGCTAACGCGTCAATCACCCCCCCCCCCCAATGAAAAATACTTTTCTACGCCACTGCCCAAAATTGTGCTTAATAATGACAACACACATTGGCGCTAACGCGTCAATCCCCCCCCCCCCCCCCCACCCAATGAAAAATACTTTTCTACGCCACTGCCCAAAATTGTGCTTAATAATGACAATCGCAATAGTCCAATAACCTTGACAACAGGCGTCCATACTTGTCCGAAGAGAGAATTTTTTTCCCTGACCACATTCTTCCAGCTCACACCGCCACTATACAGGTGCCCGTATACCTTCAGTAAATCGTGATAAACCAGAAATTACCATGCATAACGTCAGATAAAAAATCATGAGAAGTCGATAATTACGCGGGTTATAAACCAGGATATGATGATTAATCAAAGTTTTAATATAGTATTTTCAAATCTTTTTTTAATTCATGATTTGTCTTTTTTTTTTGTACCAAGTTTTTCTGGTTCACTTACATTTGTTAATATTTTCCGGATTTGTGATCACTTACAATTGAAGAATATAATATGGAGCTACAGTGCTGTAGAATTTAATAATAGTTTCACATGATTAAACGTTTGAACAACACTAATCCTGGTATTGTGAATATGGGGTTCAATGCCATAGTCTATCTGCGTATTTGATCTATCGATCTTTATCGATTATCGATCGTATTATTGTTTTGTTCTGCTCCACAGGATTTGGGGTGATTGGCTACAAGTGAATCAGTTATGAATATTACAAGTCTTCGATTTTAACAACTTTAAGGGCTGAGGCATTGACATGTGGCAAATTAGTATCATAGTTATAATAATAATATTAATAATAATTATTATTATTATTATCATAGTTATAATAATAATAATACTAATTATCATGATGATGATGATAATAATAATAATCCAAAAGAAAATTTACTATCATTATTTATTATCAATAAGGCCTATAATCATTATTATTATTATTCTTATTATTATTCTTATTATTATTATTATTATTAATATAGGCTAATAATAATAATAAATTATTATTATTATTATTGAATTATTTTCACTAATATTATCGTTATTATTAGGCCTATTATTAATATCAAAATAATTTTAATATTATTAAAATTATTAGTAATTACAAAAACTACCCAATAATAATTATTATTACCATCATCTTTATCCTCATCATATTACCAGCACCACCATCATCATCAGGAGCATTCGTCATTATCTACATCATCATATCATCTGCATCATCATCATGATTAACATTTTCGAATAGGATTGTCTTTCCTTGAAATCAATCGTTGATACTCAAAAAGTAAGACTTAATTGTCACCTGTGATTCGCTAATTCTAAATTTATCAAATACTAGTATAGTAGGTGGATATGAGTAATGAACACAAACAAGATAAGAACAAGGAGGTATTTTTTACACCAGGATGAGAACATTTTTACCGCAGTATGACCCCGTTGTAGTAGTAGTCACGAATTTCCATACACTGACATCACAGTTTTGTGTGGGACTGTCTACGATCTGATTGCTGTGCTGGGTGAACTCCCAGCATTCCAAGATTCATATGAGCGCCAGTCAAAATAGAGGTGTAAATGGACTGCGTTATCTATCCTGTAAAACCTTGTGTTTTATCCTTGGATTTTAAAATTTTATTCATTTTCGTGGGATATACCATACACGATTATTAGGTGGAAAAATAAGCGGAAAACGTGTGCGTTTCGGGGAGGAATTTGTTGTGTTACCATCGATGGCAAGCCATTCGGATTTACCGTCCACCATCGCCTCGCATGCTGATGAATTTGTAGATTTGGCCAGAGTTTACGAACTCGTTCGAACAAAATGGCCTGGTGGGCGGTCATGTGCGGTAAGGATCTCAAACGAATGTTTTAATAAATTTTATGTGTAGTATATTTAATAAAATACATTTTTTAAGAATCAATTTAGGGTAGCTTACTTGTACATCAATCAAACAAAGTGACGGTAAGCAAATCGCTAACAAGACGAGAATTACCCAAGACGACGATCACCGTACATAACATTTTAGGGAGGCGCCCGGCTGCAGTAAGCTTCTTGTATTGTAAAGCCAGAAAATGTTAATAAATTCAAAACATGGCTCAAATCAGGCATAATTATTATACTAGGACCATCGTTTGATTGGAGTATAGTACATTTTATATATTTTTCCTAGTCACTTTAGTATACAACGATTTCGTTCGTATGCCTTCTGTATCTCATACTACTAGGCCTAGGCTATACCTCCATGCTCATAGTCATACCTACCATTTCCCTACAACGAACTGCTAGTATTATTATATAGGCCAGTGGCAGTAGCACTTCAATTGAATTAGGGGTAGGCCTGATGATTTTTATTATTACCTGATTTAATGGCCCATGCACATAGACTAGCCACGATTCTGCAATCACCATTTCTTGCCTACAGTAGATTGTCATACAATGTAAAAATCAGTAATATTCCTTTCTTGTTGGCTAACACTGCAGTCAATAACTATTTCATTTTTTCATAATTTTATAAAATTTAGGTCATCAGGGGCGTGGCTGGTTTCAAAGCAGTGCAAATAATAAGAATATACGGAACTAAATCCCAAAAAAACTAAATTCCTATTCCAATGAAAACTTAATGGTCATCGTAGTATTTTACCCACCGTCAAACTAATTTGCTGTCATGGAGGTGGGGTTCACCCATAGTCATCATACCATGAGTTCATTTCAAGGATTTGAAACCCTGCTAACATAGTTACCAATACCCCTTTCAGACAGACCTGCAAAGCGGTATTAATACTGGCGTTCTATGTGAAAGGGTAAATACGCCTAAATGGCTGCTTCAGTTAGACCTTCTCAGGACCTAGTCTTAATACCGCATTAATACCGTAGCGAGTTTTACCCAACTCGATGTGAAAGGGTACAGAGTTCATTGCTGTCTTGCGCACTGAGGCATAACAAATCAGACGGTCACACGAGCAGCCACCAACCGCTGCTGCAGCTAACAAAGCCGATAATATAACTTTATTGTTTCTCTTTTGTAACAGAGGCACAATCGTTTAAGAGATGTGCAACAATAATTCACAATATAAGATTTAAAGAAAAAACATATGTACATTTGTCTAGCAATAGACATTTCTTACTAACCTAATACACCATCTAATAAATACAGTACTTCATCAGTATTTTGAATTTTTTTTACTAAACTAATAACAAAAAGAAATTATAATACGCATCCCAGGAAATGAACTACACGCCACTGCTCCCGACACCATTCACGCCATTGCCAGGAATTCATGACAATGCGTGACCAATGCTGAAACCCGACGGCACGCACTCCATCTCCCGGAGAATGCATTACAGCCCTAACCATGGTGGAGCTGAGGTGGTTGTGAAATCACGGCTTTGAAGTATGTAAAGTACATATTAAAAGACAGTTGTTTATAAACTTTATTTTATATTGTACGTCACACATATTAATAAGACCTCAATGGTTGCCAAAAATCCTGGATAAAATATCATGAGAAATTTGTTGACTCTTCATTTTGACTATATTAATGTTGATGTGGCCATCTACTGTAGAGGTACTATTTCCTAAAATGTTTGCATCTCAGCCCCAACCTCACCAAATGTCCCCCTCCACCTTTTAAAATAGATGCACCCTTCCCTGAGTAGGACATTAAACTCCATTGAGTTGGCACCTGACTCTGAGTATGGCTTCGTGAATGGTAGGCGAGGGAGTATAAATTTGATTTTAGGATGTGATCGGTTTTTCATGCCTATTATTCATGATTATGACTACAGTATTTTGGATAAAGAATGTTTTGAGCAAAATGGAAAAAACAAAGAAAATGATTCATTTAAATTTAAGTCCGAGAGTGTAATTTCTGGCCATGTAGAGGTGCCCTAATCGTAAATTTGAATTTCTGGATCTACCTGTACCACTGTTCAGTTATTATAATTATTATTAGCCTTACTAATAGGTATATCCCAATGAGAAAATTCAATTTCATTATTTTGAATTTTGTAAAAATTAGATCTACAGATAACTCACTGCACTGATCATTTTCTATTTTAAATTATTATAATCCAATACACCGTTCAAAGGTTATGGCCCTTTAAAGATGGTGAAAAACGGGGTCCGAATGCGAAAAAGTGGGTCCTTTTTCCAGACTGACTTTGGAGCATTTTTGGAGGGCCATAACCCCATTGAGCTATTGCAGTGCTAAAAAAAAATCAATTTTCGATCCCATTAACCTTTTTGCTACAGCAATTTTTACCTGGTGCCCATTTGGCGACAAAGTAATAATTTTGTAGCCATACTGTAAGCTTTAATGTACTGCAAGAAAAAACAATGAAACTCATTTGATTATTAAAATATACCTACTCTTGTATTTTTTTTTTTTTTTTGTCATTTTTTTTTCATTTCCTTATTTAATTTATTCAATTCTCACTTAAAATTGTATAGTACAAAATCAGTAGAAGATGGGACCAACAGATGGAAGGCACTTCTGAAACGGTCCAGTCGCAAAAAATCATAAAAACGGTAATATTAAAATATACCGTATATTCCGGCGTATAAGCCTAATTAGGACGCGAAATATCGCGATTTTTTTGTGTCACCTGTGTATAAGCTGCACCTATTTTTAAGCTCCAAACCATCCTATAATGTTAAGTTTTTAATTATTTTGAATCATTTTGTCATTATTTACAAATGTTTACTTAAAGAAATTTCAACTTTTTTGGCCGATTAAACAACAAACAACTGGAAATGCATGTTTAACTTCTGGCTACTGCAATGAAACAACGTATTCTTCTTTAGGGAAATCCCCATTTCTCTCGCTAGACAGTCGTGGTGCGTTAAATTTTCAACATCAGTTTAGTTTAAGTTTTAATAATAAAATCTAATAAAATAAAATACTTAGTGAGTATATTTATTTATTTCAATCAATCATTCTGTTAATGGTGACTAATAACAGTCAGTATTGATCTAAAAATATTGGTAATTCTAGGCCTAAGTCATTACTACTCACAGTCCACTGTGCGAAGCATGCGGCATCACGTTTTATAAACAAAAACAGAACTGGAGAAGTATCATGTGATACAAAATTTATGCAAATAGGCGAATGACTTACAGTATGCCTTTCTACAGTTAAATTCCAGTAAAAAAATTATTACAACTTAAAAAAAACTCGTGTTTTTATAGTAAGCATACATTAGGTTTTTATTCTAAAATCATAACACTGCATAATGAGCATAATACTAATAGGGGTATCATTCTTTCTATAACGGTACTGCCACTGGGAACCAGACGTTGAACAGTAGGCCTAAGTGTCAACCAGCAACCACGTGTGTTTTGTTGAGGCATTGAAAATGAAGCAGCTCACGTCACTTCGAGGACCGAACTGCCGAAAAATACAAACAGAAACAAAACAAAATGTTCCAAAATTGTTTATGAATGAACATAATTATGAAAATAATTATTTAGACGACCCAAACCATTGCTTGAATTTTCCTAGGACAGCACTGTAGTGAGTATACAGTAGGCCTAATTAAAAATACTAGGCCTACAAACCAGTTCTTTCTACCCTAGGGCGGGCACTAGGCTAATTAATTGGGTTGGCCTGGGTCTATTAACCAGACAACAATAATCGATGATCCTGTTTACAGCAGGTTTATGTTTGGCCAGGGCATCCGTCAAATGACCTACACAGCGACTAGATGTTTATTTTTCTGTAATTTTATCGCCAGTTTGGCTATCACTGTTTCTACTCTGGTAGTCATGATGGCAGTGGGAATGACGAAACTACAGTATTCGCCATGATTTATTTTGTTGTCGCCAACAGCAACATGGCGATCATATTTTTTAAGCACTATATTGCAATGTAATTTTCTATGGTTGGAATAGGTTGGGGAACAGAAATCTTTAATTTTTAAGTCGATATCACAGGGAGTTAATTGGTAATAATGGGGGAATTGGTTATGCCTTTATAAATCTGAAACATCCACGTACTGATTATGGCATCCCTATAATTGTTCTGATGAATTTTAGTAGACATAAGAAGTGTTTTATTCGTCAAGCCTTGTTAAAGAGGGTGTTTTGTCGGGGTGTGGATGAAAAAGGGACGGGGTGGGGTTATTAGGGGTCTGGATTTTTAAAATAAATTTATAAACATTTTAAAAATACAACATTTTTAGAATTATGCAAGTATTTACAAGTGAAATGATCAGGATCTTCTATTGTAGCATGGGAAGGTGGTAAACAAGCTGTTTAAGCAAGACAATAATTCCTCCATTCAAACTACCGGTTCCATCATTAAAATACTGGTAGATCACATTAACTCTCTATCTTCTTTAAAATAAAAACATTTAGCGTTTTCTATCCGTCCGCAATACTTATTGAACGCTAGGCCTATACCTTTCTTTGTGACCAGTAATGCAAATCAAATTATGCCAAGGGCTGATCGGAAATTATGCTAAATTATGCCAAATGTTAAATTTAATGGTTGTTTAAATAAGCGCCTTTCTCCCACCTAAAATCATTGAAACACTATTCTCAATACTATTTCTGTATACCCAGTGGTGCCGCCAGAGACGATGGTATCAGGTCTGATGTTCGGTATATACTGTAGTATAAATAGGTAAGTCTTTTGTGTCTTTTTAAAACAGTCAATGTTTGGTGAGTTTTGAATTTCCGGAAGTGTGTTCCCAAGGGTTGGCCCGATTGAGGTAAAGCTTCTATCACCATATGTTTTTGAGTCTTGTTGCAGGTGGTTGGTAGGTTAAACAATTTGATGAACGAAGAGTGCGAGCAGGTAAGTGACGTTGAACCAGATCATAGAGATAACTTGGAGCGATGTGATG